GCAATTTCAAATCTTTGGAATGAATTTGTACTGGGATCCAGTAGACAATGTGAGTTCATATAATCATAAATCACTCTCCAATGGTTTTGTAAAGGTGAGTCTCCAAAGAAGTTGTACACCAGAACATCCTGGAGAGTGGAAAGATATGAGAATAGAGAAAAGCTCAGTATATATCATAAGAAAGCACCCATTTTACCTGGAACTCCAAGCCTTTGCATTCAAGTATTGTCAAAACAAGTGCATGTTTCCGAACATTTTCAGGAACTTTTTGCTTAGATAACTCGTCACGCACAAGTATAACTTGATCTGCTCCAAAACCATTAAAATGGCTACAGCTGCTGTCTGTGGAATGACCAAAAAGAGTCATCAATGCATTTTCATCACATCTAGATCGCAGCAGAATTGGTGGTTCTCCAAATATAAGACTTGTCTCTGGCTGTAAGCGATCAAGTGAGTGAGGAAAATAGAAGCAAAGAATGTCAATTACACTTTGAGCCAATTTTAGCACACCAGCATGTGTCCGGAAGTTTTGGTTCAAATGAAACATATCAGAAATAGACTTGCGTTTTCCTTTAAAGCTTTTCATATGATCACAACTAGGATCTTGGAGGAACACACTGTAAAACAAAGACCTTATATCTTCAAATCGGAAATCAACACCCCGGGCAATAGTTTGAGCAGTATCGCCTGCAAACACAAACCCTTCAGAAAAATTTTTGCACACATATTTAAAAAGAGAGATCTGTCTCATGGTAAGATCCTGAACTTCATCAATATATACAAAATCCATTTGGACACCCACATTTCTACCATATACTCTGGCTCTGCGATGAAGATCACATACTAAATCAGACATGTCAAACTCTCTATTTCTACGCTTCGTCTTTTCATAAGCTAGAAAAATATCATATATAATTTCCCTAGCATCACAGTTTAATGAAGATGCACGCCGTTCAGATAGACCAACATAAGCCTCTCTGTCGAGCCAGCTATCAAAAGGCACATTAGACGTAATGTCACCTTTTAAATGAGAAATTATCTCCGTGAAAACAACTGAAGAATCAAGCTTCTTGGTCAGCTGGGTATTAAAGTGAGGCCAGTATGATGATAAAAATCTGGGATACGTGACCTCCTTCTTTCTTATAAGTGTTTGCAAAGCAAAAGATCTTGAAACTCCAGTTCTTTTAAGCGAGAGCTCACCATCATCAAACTTATCAAAAAATGAATTCCCCAAACTTCCATCAAGCATTACCAGAAACTTCTGAAAGGTTATTATAAGGGGATAGTGCTTCTGTGTGATATTCTTAAATGAGTCAGGGATGTCTGAGAAAGCATTTAGGCTATCACCAATATCATACATATCAATACCAGTCTTGGATGAATATTCACCGCCACATAAGAAGCTGGATATATAAACCAAGCAAACAAAAGGTAAGAAACATCTTACAGGATGAAGAAAAAGCTTGAGCATCAAAGATATGAATGTGTGAGCCATGAAGAAAAAGCTTAAGCGTCACAGATATGTGCAGCCATTGCCACCAAGAAGATGTGATTAGTAAAAAAGTCGGACCTGGCAAGCTTCTAATTTGGATAACCTAAAGACTATAAAGCTTCAAAATTGAACTTAATATGGTACACAATCAATCAAATGAATTACTGAGATGTTAGTGAAATTTTTTTTAAATGCATTGTTATTTAAATTGCACCCATAATTTAGTGTCTCCGGTACCTTATTCCTTTCTAGGGATAATTCTTTGATGCTTTTCCACACCAACCACAGTCCATAAATTTAATAGCAATTTGCATGAGATAAAACTACTATTTGTCCCGTGTAAATTAGAGGAGGAATGGACTGCATTAGTTCTTCAAAGAGTTTCTCAGTTTAAAATCTAGATATCAAACCAAGTTCAAGAACGAACAAAAATTGGCAAACTAATAAAAAAAAAGTACCAGTAACATAACAAAATGTATCCAGCACTGCAATAATATCTAAAAACGTCTTTTGTTATTTACATTGTGATAACTTTTACCATGAGGTCAGATCCACTTTTCCATTTCTCAGGAATTTATAATCGCTGTATCATAGTTTCTCACAAAGCTACAGCACTTCCTATTAACTGTGTGTGACATATCTATATCATTTCCCTAGTAATTGAGTCATCCCACATTAAACGGTAGCATACGGTTATTTGCAAATGCAATACTAATTGTGTCATCACACATCAAATGGTAACATACAGTTATTTGCAAATGCAATAACAGTTTAAAATAGTGTCCAACCAAATATATTAACAAAGCTGGTATTGTTTATAGTAAAAGCACAAATAAATCTGGAAATTTATGATTATGCACTATGCACAGACTAAAACTGGTAGTGTTGGGGATGCACAACCCCCCTGATGCGATTTGGAAATAGAGATTTAGGAGAGAAGAGAGAAAATCAAACAATCTCAAACACACAAGATTTACGTGGTTCGCTTCTCAATGTGAGAAACTACGTCCACGGCCGCCGCAGGAGAAAAATTCACTATTTTTCGTCTTAATACATCATGCCCTAATCAACCCTTTTATAGACTTAAGGGTTTAACA